AATTTGACTTCGCTTACTCTCTGTTGGACGCAACTTTAGATGTATCTACTTCTCCATATGGCTTGACACAGCTCTGTGATGTTCATCTGGGAAATTATGGAATCACAACTACGTCGACAGTGAAACTGCTTGATCTTGATCTGATGTATCCTCACGTTTTTCTGCGTACTCTTTTGGAACAGAAAAAGTGCGTTTCTGACTGGGACTGTTTTGTGGGTCATTCTGACTGTTGGTCAACTTGCGACAAGACCAAAGGCATTTGTAAATCGCTTTTAGGTATCCAGGACCTACATATGGTATGTGAAGGGGTTTTTCCTCAACTATTTAAAAATCCAAATTACCTGAATCCAACAGGTCACAACATGACCTGCTTGGAAAGAGCTATGAGAAAGCTCTTTGTCTTTTGTAGTAAGATACCAGTGGTGTACTCAAGGGAAGAATTGCGGAGAAACATTCTGGCAGTTAAAAAGAGGCTGAAAGCAGTTGACATTATGGTCGCAAACGAATGTTAGCTCTTTTCCAATCACCTCATATAATTTGACTTAATAAAATGAAGCTAAAGTAGTTGATAACGTATATTGGCCAGCGTAACAAGTTTCTAAAGCTGGCGTTTCGAGCGTTAGCGCTTCATTAGGGCGAAGCCACTGAGCTTACCCTGCGTAAAAACCAAACATCCTTTGTTTTAGCCTTTTGAGAATACGAGCTATACACCTGTCACATCTGCAAGTGTTCAAGAGATTTCTGTCATTACTGACCACCGAAAGATGCCGCTTTGTTTTTTAGGAAGTTGGTCTCTTTAATCCATGTAACTCACAGTTATAAATTAGGACCTTAAAATCTCAACTAAGAATCAATGATTTATTGGCCTTAATGGAGTCTAGTAGCGCGCAGGGTGAGTAATCGTGCGAATGGATAGAAAGAAAAAAATGAAAAGGGGGAAGGGAAAGTACATAGGCGTTCTGCATGTTTGCATTGGAATGCACAATTCACCCTTTAGCTCTTCATAGAGTAATGAAATCACTTACCCAAAAAGTATTCCCCGATAAAATCAAAAGAATACGCTGTAGAAAGTAACAAGAAAGTGGCAACGATTCAAGTAAATTTACTGTAAACGGGGCTCGGGGATAAATTTTCAGTTCGTGACGTCATCGTGCAGAAGAGTTATTGCATCAAAGTAAACATCCTCGATCTTTCTTCAGAAATGCTTGCTCGCGTGTAAGTAATCTTTAGGTATCGAAAGTGCTTAGAACCACGAATACGAGTTCTCTTCGTTATACAGGGGTAAGTTTGAGATGTCTTTACGAAAGAGAGGAGTTGGTTGTAGTAAACAGGGAAAACTGAACGATTGCAAGGTGCGTGCGAAAGGCCTTGGGCAAGGGCATATCGCAGTGGTACCTTTTATAACCCTATCCTATCGGGCTCCTTGTGATTTCGAGTAACCCCTCTAAGTATCTTAGATTGAATTCACCTAAAATGTGAGTGTGTGACTTAAGTGTTTCTTCACCAAAGCCTTGGACTCTTTCGAAACTAAACTGGCTTAAAATCCACTCTGTTTAATGCAAATTAGCTTTCGTATTTCAATGACTTTTTATCTGACTGATTCCCAATTCAATAACCTTGTTAACCTTTTACTCGATTCCTCTCTTATCCTCCCTTTCATTGCTAGTTACCAGGTTTCTCTTTGGGACTTAGTCAGAATGACGACTGACCACTCAACTTCTCGTGGCTCGGCGACGCCAATCTGGAAACGGAGTAAGAGTAGGCTTTTTTCAAGAGTCATTCGATGCCGAATCAGTGATATTTTGGCTGTCAGTATTATTTCTATATTTTTTTGATTGTGACATTTTTCCACGCGCCTTTGATAGTTAGAAA